ATTATTATTATTATTATTATTATTATTATTCATTATTTTATTGATCTATTCCAGGAACATGGTCGGAATTTCCGAGGTACCCAAGCTTCGATTTGTCTATTTTCACCAAGTTTTGTTAAACACTGTATTTGCATAACATCAAGGTTGGTTCAAGATAGCAATTCTAAGGCTTGGAATACCAAACCTGGGCCATGATCGAAACTACCTTGGTATACAAGCTTGTATTTGCATTACATCACCAAGCTTAGTTGAACCATGACAATTCCCTAGAATCAAGGTTGGTTCAAGCTAGCAATTCCAAGGCTTGGAATGACCTAGGTATGATATATTGAATCAAGCTTGGTTCAAGCTAGGAATTCCAAAGCTTGGTATCCTAAGCTGATCCAAGCTTGGACCCATCGTTCAAGCTTGGATTTCCCCACCTGGGTACCAGTCGCGCACGGATGTAACGGAATAAGTTGGAAATAGAGGTAGCTCTAATATACTTTTACCAAAATTTGATATTATATTATTTGCTTAGAATTATTAGTTTCTTCAGAAAACATTGATATGAAAGTTTTCCCTAAGAAAACAGAAATTTACCGAGAAATTGCGGCAAACCATCGCGTTTTACTGCTCAGGTTTTTTCACACTCGAACGGTACATTTTCTTTGATAACTATTAAACTTGGTACATAGCCGAAATATGTACCGGTTAACTTTTAAAATGGATGTTTATCAATGATTGAACTTCAATAAATTTTGACGATAATTTACTGCAATTCATTGGGTCGATTACTCTCAGATTGTACTTAATTGTCAAATGATAAATGATTCAATATCCGAATTTGAATACCTTTCATTTGTGGTTATCACAAACTTTAGTGAATGAATCACTGACATTATAGCAAAGAGAATATATTTTTTCTCCATTAAATCTCGTTAAAAAGATCATTTAAATAGTATTTCAGTGATGAGAAGTAACTGCTACGCGCGCCTGATGGCAAAGTGTTTGTCAATTATTATTTGTTATCTTTAATTCAATGACAGAATACAAATCGCCAAATAATCAATATCGCAGTGTACATGGATATTTTCAGAATGAAATCTAGAAAAAACAAATGATGAATCGATAAAGGCAAATATTTTAACGATACACAATATACCTCGTATCCTGAATGAAAACAAAATATAGATCCATTATTATCGAAATTAATATAGTTTAATTATTGAACTATGAATTGTTTATTAGAATTGAAAAGCATTTCACATAAATTGAATATCTCCATCTCCATAAAATTTTTCAGATCTTGTCCCTTCCTCAGGGTTCCCTTTTTCAATTCAAATGAAATGCTAATTTCCACAACATGTTCCTTGAAATTCTTATCCTGAAGCTTGTAACTCCTGACGTTTAGTCTGAAAAAAAATACAGTATTTCGTCATTTAGGCTTAGTAGTTTTTCAGAGAAACTCTCACTTGCAGATAAATTCGTTTTCTGTTCATTATTTTTTTACTCGCAATCATTTTTCTTCAACTCTGCACGCCTCTCTTCCCTATTTAATGCATTTTCCTCCAAAGTTCCCACAGTTCATCTGAAAGCAATTTAATTTCGTCATTCGAAGAGGTTATATTCTTCCAGTTGCTATCGAATTACTGTAAATATTAGATAATAAAATAATTTTTGCACAGAACAAAAAATTGTTTGGAAAGTAGAAATCTCTGTTTTTTTTTTGAAAAAATCGAGACCGTCATAAGTGGGCAGAAGTCAATTTTTTGTTATTTTTCCGAAATTTTCATCTCTCAGGCATCAGAGAGCGAGAATAAAAATATTAAAAAAATATATTTTGAAAGTCGACTGAAAAATCAAAATTTTCTTTTTCTGGAAATGGAAATGGGTAGAAAAAAACGGAAGTTATGAATAAAATAGCAAAGAAAAAAGAAAAAAATCCTACAGACCATAGGCGGTGATCCGAAAATTCTGAAAAAAATCAGGAAATATGTTTTTATCCTTCTCCATCACCAGAAAAATTTTGGTTAATGTTTTGAAGAGGTGAGGTTCGACGATTGGTTTAATCAGCATGGAATACCTCTAAAGTAAGAGGAAATAAGTTGTCGAGGCCTCCGATGGGATTGTTTTATCCGAACGAATTAACAAAAATCGTTCACAGAGAAAAAAACAAGTTGAAAAAATTTGAATTATGTACAATTAATAGACATGATTTTCATAAATATAATTTTGCGGAAGAGAAAACTGAAAGAATGCCCTCTGATGTTTTTTACATTTAGAATTGGGGAAGGAAAAGAACAGTGCTACCAATTAATAACATTAGCGTGACAAATGAAGTTGGCCGAGGCAAAAGAAGAATGCTATGTACTCTCCAAAGTAGTAAATTAAAGTATAAGGTGATACATTTCGTCTTCGAAGGATGACAAATTTATGGGCTGAGCCGAAACTAAGGTCTCTACTCAGATTCGTTGAAATCAGAATTTATTGCCGGACGCCCCTGTACCATTCTAGTCCAGTGCGACGTGTGGAAAACACGCAATACCACACATAGTGGACGAAGAAACACTTTCAATTTAGTAAACAATTGTTATTCGATTAACTATATACTAATTATCCCGATTATCACAGATGTGATTACCTACTTCTCTTGGTCTTTTCTGCACAGATGGTAAAATGTGTTACAAGACAGGCTATGATTAGTTAACTGTCAACTGTACCTGGAAAACGGTAAAATATCCTTGCGCAACCCATCGCAAGTTGCTGTTTATAGGCATCATTAGTTTTCAGTTTTTCTTCAATCAAGAAGGGGCAATTTTTTGTTTGAAAAATGAATAATGATGAGGCAAAAGTGCAGGGGATAATTGGTTACAATGCGAGCCGATCATGATGATGCAAATGAATGGAACCATCAAATACCATGACTGTGTTTGGATAGTGAGGATGATTAGTACCTAGGTCTTATGCCTGTCAGCCGGAAATGGCTGGTGCTCTATTCTCTCTATGATTAATTTTTCAGTGCGATGAAGAACGAGTAAAAGAAAATACACTTGAAACAATAACAATTACATATATATGCCAATTGATATCACCTGTAGAGTTCAAATACATACAGTTCATATGGCATCTGATTAAGTAAACAAAAATCGAATTCAAACCTTGACTAATCGCAGTTCCTGGAAACAGTACTTACTCGCCCCGACATATTCATAATTTTCAAGTTCGCATATTTACATGGATATTTGCTCAATAAACATTTGACCTACTTTCAAAACCATTAATGTTCTTCAAAAATTTCAGCATTGGGAGACGCAATGAGACATGAAACGTAGATAAACACCATGTTGACCACCTATAGAACAGTCAGAAGTTGTTTCACCAAATGGCTATGAACAATACATTCATTCAAAGTTTTGAAGCATTTAGCTACTTAGAACAGCCGTAGTCTTTATTAAGGGG